ATCAGTTCTTCAGTTAATCCGAAATTTTCAAGTGGTATGCCTTACGTGAATATCCCTAACGATCATCAACGCCCAACTCGCCAGAGGAGAACAGATTCTTACAGAACTGAAGGCATCCCTGGCTCTGGCTAATCTATGTGGTGTGGTGAGTTGAGGAACCGACGCTCCCCGCAGAATTGAAATTTTGAAGAAACTGCATTGGTAAATTTGGCAGTTGAGTTCGAGTGAAAATTTCGGAACGGTATGTACATCAAACATACGATTTTCGGAACACCCCCATGCAAATGCCCATTGAAATGGTGGCTTATACAGAACTTATTGTGTTGACTGTAGGTGCTCCTAGAAAGAGCATTTGGGTAGAGCGGTTGAAAGGATTATCAGTTCTTCAGTTAATCCGAAATTTTCAAGTGGTATGCCTTACGTGAATATCCCTAACGACCATCAGTGAATAATATCCGGTTATATCCGTGAATATCCGATTCATACTGAATTATAACTTCTCATGTGAAACGGAGGTTTCAAAGAAATACGCGTCGCATGATTATTATGGACCTGATGCCATTATACTTCTGTAAGGCATTCAAGGCTCTAAGGCTATTTCCGTTGGCAAGGTAAAGTAATGAATTTATCTCTTCGCGGATGTGAAGCAATTTCGACCGTCTCACTGAGTCTTACTCCTTTGAGTGGGTCAAAATTTTTGTAATGAATGAACTGTGGTCACAAAGATTCTTAGTCAAAAGTGTTAGTCATTATTAGACTGGAATAGTTATATTTTATATAGATCGAAAGGAAATGCCAGATTGTTTGTACCAATCTATGTCTCTATTACATAAGAAGGAGGAGAGCCCGGCGTTAGCTGGGCGATCCGACTGGTAATAATATAATCTCCAACTTCCCCCTTGCTTCAACCTCGGCATGGTTGTTCATGATTGAAACACATTCTTATGCCGCACTAGGTTGTTATGTGGGAACAATTTAATGGGTCGAGTCATGAGTGATAGGGTGGGTTGAGTCTCGGACAATGTGATAGTGATGAGTTCTAGAGATCATAACTTGGGAAAGAGGCGATGAAAATGGACGCGAGAGAAATCGTTGAATATAGCATGCAAAGCTCTTCCAAATACATACAACGAACACATATACCCTTCTGACCGTTCCCTTTCCTGCAACCAAGCCCCATGATTTGAAGCCGTCGCAACTCCACCTCTGCAACATCATCCTATCGCTTTTTTTATTTGGCCAAGAACCCGCGGCGATGCCCCTGCCACTATAGAAGCACGATACACAAGTGGCACTCGAAGTTTGCCTTAGCCGGCTATTCCATTGAAGATGAAGACCGTCCGAAACGCCCAATGGAGTAGGATTTGGACGTGTTGCGGAGCCGGGTGGGAGCCGATCCCTATCAAACTACTCGCGAACTGGCAATCACTCTCGGTGTGAGTCAGTTCACAGTTGCTCGTTGATAGAAGTCAATCGACAAGGTGCGAAAGCTTGGTCGATGGTGCTTCACGCCTTGAAGCAGTGTGACATGGACGGCCGCGTCGACATGGCACCTTCTCCTAACGCTCAAGCGCACCCACGCGGCTCGAGCAACTAGTCATTGAGGATTAGAAGTGGATTCTCTACTCTAACGTTCACCGGCGTGCCAATGGGTTGACAAAGGTGCGACTGCAGAAGACTTTTCTAAACCCAGTGCACAAGCCAAGAAAGTTATGCTCTGCATCTGGTGGAGCGTTTACTGTGTCGAATACCGAGAGCTGCCAAGCGAGTGACCGCAGACGTTACACTGAGCTAATAAGCAATTTGAATACGAATTTCGAAGCTACACGTCCACAGCAGCACAAAGTTCACTTCTGGCACGACAACTCTACACTGTGAGAAAGACCAAAACTGAACTAATGAATTTCGGCTGAACAATTTTACCACGCCCATCATACTCCCCAGGCTCGGATCTCTCGGATTATCACCTTTTTCCCATCTCCAACGTCGTCTGTATGGTCAAGACTTTCAAACCCGCGTCG